ACTTTGAAAAATTCAAGGAGATTTATATTTAACAATTTGTATATTTCAATTTCCTAAAAAAAAAGGTGATATATGTTTTCTCAGTTGCTGTATCTGTAAAAAAAATTAAGATACCTAGGAATAAACTTAACCAAAGAAGTAAAAGACCTATTTTCAGGAAACTACAGGATATTGAAAAAACAAACAGAGGAAGATATAAAAAAGTGGAAGCATTTACCTTGTTCATGGACTGGAAGAATTAACATCATTAAAATGTGCATACTACCCAAAGCAATCTATAGCTTCAATGCAATCCCCATCAAAATACCAACGATATATTTCACAGAACTAGAGCAAATACTCCAAAAATTCACATGGAACCAAAAAAGACCCCAAATAGCCACAGCAACCTTGAAACTGAAGAACAAAGTTGGAGGGATCACAATACAGATTATCAAGCTATACTACAAAGCCATCATTATCAAAACAGCTGGTACTGGCACAAGAACAGGCAGATAGATCAATGGAACAGAATAGAGAACCCAGAAATGGACCCAAGACAATATGCTCAATTAATATTTGACAAAGATGGCAAGCGCATACAGTGGAGTCAAGACAGTCTCTTCAATAAATGGTGTTGGGAAAATTGGACAGCTTCTAGCAAAAAAATGAAGCTAGATCATTAACTTACCCCATACACAAGAATAAACTCAAAATGGATAAAAGACGTAAATGTAACTCGTGAATCCATACAAATTCTAGAAGAAAGTGCAGGCCACAAAATTTCAGACACAGCCAGCAGAATTTTCACTGATATAACACCTAAGGCAAGACAAACAAAGGAAAAAATGATGACATGGAACTACATCAAATTTAAAAGCTTCTGCACAGCCCTGGCCGGTTTGGCTCAGCGGTTGGAGCGTCAGCCTGCGGTACAGAGAGACCCGGGTTCGGTTCCCACTAAGGGCACGTACCTAGGTTGCAGTTTGTCCCCGGCCCTGGTTGGTCCTGTGGGTGGCAGCCACTCGATGTGTCCCTTCACGTCGATGTTTCTCTCTCTCTTTCTCCCTCCCGCTCTATCTGAACAAAAAAATGGAAAAATGTCCTCGGGTGAGGATAAAAAAAAAAAAGCTTCTGCACAGCAAAAGAAACAACCATCAAAATGGAAAGGGATCCACTATATGGGAGACCATAATAACCAATGATGCATTAGATAAGGGGTTAATTTCCAAAATGTATAGAGTGCTCATACAACTCAACAAAAGGAAGACAACCCAATTAAAAGGGGCAGAGGACCTAAATAGACACCTCTCCAAACAGGACATACAAATGGCCAAGAGACTTATGAAGAAATGCTCTACATCACTAATCATCAGAGAGATGCAAATTAAAACAACTATGAAGTATCACTTCACATCCGTCAGAATGGCCACCATCAACAAATCATCAAACAAGTGTTGGTGAGGGTGTGGAGAAAAGGGGACTCTAGTACACTGCTGGTGGGAATGCAGACTGGTGCAGCCACTGTGGAAAACACTATAGTGTTACCTCAAAAAGTTAAAAATTGAACTACCATTTGACCCAATAATCCCACTTCTAGTAATATACCCTAAGAAGCCTGAAACAGCCATTAGAAAGAATATATGTACTCCCATGTTCATAGAAGCACTATTTACAATAGCTAAGATCTGGAAACAAGCCAAGTGTCCATCAGTGGATGAGTGGATAAAAAAATAGTGGTACATGTACACAATGGAGTACTATGCAGCTGTAAGAAAGAAAGATCTCTTACCTTTTGAGATGGCATGGAAGGACCTGAAGAGTATTATGCTAAGTGAAACAAGTCAAGAAGAGAAAGACAAATATCACATGATCTCACTTATTTGTGGAATACAATGAACTAAACAAACTGATGAACAGAATTGACCCAGAGACATAGAGGTGGGGTACAGACTGACAAACCTCAAAGGAGGGGTTTGTGAGGGAGAGATAAACCACAGAACTTATATGCATGTATGCATGACCAAAGGACATAAACAACAAAGCTGGGGATGGGGCGGTGGGGAAGGAGAGGAGGGTGTTAATGGGGGAAAAGGAGAAACATCTGTAACAAAAAATATTAATAAAATAAAAAAAGTGAACAAGAAAACAGGACAAGATTGCTACAGAAATGAGCAAAATAGTTTGCTTTGAAATCTGTCGTTATTATAAGGAAAACACATTTCAGAAACCTCAGTTACTTATCCTGGGAATGTTACTATTGTTTGGTCAGAAGTAAATTCAAATTTGGACCAAACTGATGCAAAATAGTTCTAACTTATAGAAGAATTTGTGATCTAAAGTTCATGTCATCAAATCATTGCATTAACTTAGAGCAAAAACACAAGCAAACAAAAGCCAAGGAATATCTTTCTGCATGCAAAGTGCCGAAGTGGCTCTGAACTGTGACTCAGTTTCCCTGAGTTTTGTTCCTGGCTCACTGAATGTTTTGGTTACTTGGTCAGCTAAGATTTGCTACTATCACCACCCCATCCATGACCCGCAAATCCACCTTCATATTCTCCTCGTGGTTTTGGTGCACAGTTATATATATTTCATTGAAATGAGTTTAGCAAGGTGCACATTCCTTATTACCCAACATTTTCCTATCCTGCAACCGCCCCCTACAGCATACAGATGCACTCTCTCTTCCTCCTTTGTTTTGTTAAAATTAGATACTCTTGTGGATTCTTAAAGACAAACTGTGACTTATTCCCACCTTTCTACCTGGACATTCCCTAACTGGATTCCAACTAAGAAAGAAGACTGTTTGACCCCTTACTAGGTGCTGTATATGTATGATCACATGTTATCCTCAGAATAACCCTGTGCGTTATGGAATATTATTATCCTAATTTAACAGATAAGAACAATGATGATTGAAATATCTGACTTGCCAGAAATCACACAGCCAGAAAGTGACACAAACTCTATGTACCTTTCTCAGATATCTACATGGGTAAGCATTCTCTTATAGTGTCTAATTTGAAAAGAAATGACTTAATATAAATGGGAGGGGCCTCATTTGTGAAAAGAGTTTAACTTAAGATCAACAACCCTCATCTAGAATCTGGAACTTTATTTGCTTTTGGAAATGAATCTTTTAGTCCTAAAATGGTTTGGAAATATTTTTTATGGAAGTATTTGTAAAATAGATAAAAGAAAGAGTGTATAACTAATGACAGCATCTGAGAAGGGAATCCAGCTGCTCAGTTAATCAGATGGAATGTTAAAAGTTACTGCCAGTAAACATTACAATATTTGCCCTGGCTGGTTTGGTTCAGCGGTTAGAGCATCAGCCTGTGGTCCAGAGAGACCGGGTTCAGTTCCTGCTAAGGTCATGTACCACGGTTGCAGTTTGTCCCTGGCCCTCATTGGGTTGTGTGGGTGGCAGCCACTCAATGTGTCCCTTTCACATCGAGGTTTCTCTCTCTCTCTCTTCCTCTCTCTTCCTCCTACTCTATCTGAACAAAAAAGTGGAAATGTGTCCTCAGGTGAAGGTAAAAAAAATTACAATATTGCTTTTTTAAAACAATCAAACATATTCACATACTAATATAAAAGTAATCTTTGCTCATTTGGACTCAAAAATGGGATGATAGGAAATCATCATATACATGTACACACTCAAGTCTATCATATTGCAAGAATCTCCATATAAAATATTTCACACTCTAGTATGGTAAGCGATTTGACTCTGGGATTATTCTAAAAAAAATTTTTTCCCAAATATCAATCAACACAGATCAATAAAGACCTTTTAATATTGTTTAGTCTGATTAGAGCATTATTTAGCACTGTGTGAGTTTTTAAAAATGTATAAGACAAAAGTAATGCTACTCCTTCTTCCTTCTTAAGTCTACACTTTGTAATTATCTAACTGAAGTGGACACAGACTGAATATTGTCACAGGACAAGACACTTAGATGCTACTATATTAGATGCCATGAGTTTATGTGGAGCCTAGAAGAGTTTTCATCTACATACCCCAATATAGCTATCAAAATTCAGAGACGACCTTTGGGTTCAGGTGTCCAGTACTGATCTGATCAGGGTATTAGGTATGCACCTTAACTTGTATTCTGAAGGAGAGCTGATAACTTTGCAAACAGTATTAGCTTTTTTTTTTTTTTTACCCCCTTAAGGAGAACATGTTGGAGTCAGGGTATTTTCTCTCCGTTAAAGAAAAAGCCTAATGAAAGGTAATAGGGATGCATCTCAGCTTTTGGACTCAGAAGAATATTGCTAGTACCTCCTGATTATAAAAAGGACTGGAAAACACATTCAATTTCCCCCTTAATCTTTTGTACAGACTGATCTTCATTCTCAGTGAATATATCTGGCTCTTTCTACAGGCCACTACATTTGGGTTAGTCAGAGTCAGAGGATACGCAGGCCAAGCCATCACGCAGAGAAAGCAGTAAGCAGTCACAAGTCAGGCAAACAGTAGAAACTGAGGGAGCAAAATAAGCAAAACCTAAGAGGTCAGCAGTAAAGCTAATGGAAATCATAATCAGAGTGTAAACCAAGACTAGGAGGTAAGACATAGGTTTTCATGATCCAAGTTATTAAACCAAACATCAGGATAAGATATGTATCACAACTCAGACTTCTGGGTTAAACAAGAAAATAAGGGCAGAAGGCTAGTTAGTTACTAGTTGGAGGAGCATACTTTACCTCCTCTTCCTGTTCCACCTGACTCTCCTTAGAATTTAATAATACAGTGTTCGGCTTATTTCCTGCATGAACTTTCACACTGATTTTCAAGTTGTCACTTTTAACATTTTACTATTAGCATTATTCTTTCATTTTTGTGTGTGTGTTCAGAATCACTCTTATAGAAAAGATGGGTTTTCACAAAGGAAATACAAAAAATAAAAAATAACTTACTCTACTTTTGATTGAAAATCTCTTTTGAATTGCTCTCTGATCCCCATAAAACTGTTGTTAAACACTTACCGGTGAGTTTCTATCAGATGCAGTCACAGTTTAACTCGGACATGACTATCTTGCCCATAAGCTCTTTTCTTCGACTTTTGGAGCGGAATATAGTAGCTCAAATAAATGAATATGTCACTTCTCCATTTTACTTTTCATGACCATTGATGTGATAGATATCAAAATCAAATCCTTCTTTTCATTTTCTGCATTATGCTGAAAAAGAGAGCATAGAGGTAGTAGTGTCTCTTTAAATGGAATTCAATGTCTCATGAGTATTCAGGACTTAGAGTAACTGACATTGGCAAGGGTTACAGAATAAAGGGCACTGATGATAGGTCTATGATAAAAAATTGGTTTTATCAGAGAAGATGTTCTGCTTGCCTTGCTTCCTTTATCTGACAGCTAATCAAACTGGAACCAGATTATACCAGGAAAAATTACACTGTGGCACTGGATGCCATCCATTTCTATAGGCTGGAAAAAATGGTCATGATTTCTAGGTGGCCACATTTTTTCTCTATAGGGTAAATTATCCCCCTTATAATGTATCGTCTAGAAAATTAACACCATAAATAATACTTGGGTACTTATACCACTTTTGTCCATGTAATGATTAAGAACCACAATTTTCCATTGACTTGAAGATTATATAAAGGTCAAGAAAATAAAACAGCTTCTCTCTGTTGAGACTTCCACTATACAAAGGGCCTAACAAATAGATGGTATATTTTCTATATATGTTTAAGGTGATGTTTTATTTTTGAAAAGTAACCCTGGTATAAATAACAAATTTAATGTACTGAGACCTTATTAGTTACATTGCCATTGATAATAGAATTAATATTTTACAATTTTATATTTCTGAGTTTGTAGAAATTTTCCCATGCCTCATTTGAATCCCACAAAAACTTTATAAAAGAGGCTGCATTTTTATGGGAGAGAAAAAAAATTGTAACACTTATTAATAAACGCTTACTTTATGTTGGCATATGGGTACTTGCAAATCTATTACCTTTAATTCTTAAAACAATTCAGCATAGTCAGTTTGTAGATTAAGAAAATGAGACTCAAAGAGATGCAGTAATTTTTTCCCTGAATTTATGGAGAGTGAGTGAAATTCATTCATTTATATATCCAAGTCTCTACTCATTTTTCCACTTGGATATGTTTGTGTTATCTCATCATCTCAAACTTTACATGTCCAAAACTGAATTTATTGTCACTAGCAAATCTACTCCTCTTCATTTTCCCCTTCTCAAAATGACAGCACCATCCTCCCAATTGCTGAAACCGAAAATGGCATCATAAATATTTTCTTTTATTTTCCCAATTCCACATCAAGTTCATCAGCAAATACTATTAGTTATACCTGATTTACACTAAATCAGATCATTTCTTATCATTTCTACTTTGATCCCCATCACTCACCAGGACCATTTAAAATAGTCTAATTCCATACTAACTCTCTCTATGGCCTACGCTTTGCAAATCAGCCAGTGTGTTCTTTTGAAAAAGTAAATGATACTATGTCCCTTTGTGCTCACAACCCTGCAATAGCTTACTGTTTCACTTAGAGTGCTAACCATGGTTTTAAAGACCCTGTGTGACCTGCACCTGCTCTTCTCTTTTCATTCTCTCACCACCCTGCTCAGTGTGCACTAGCCTTCCTCACAGACGAAGCCAAGCACACACTGCTTCATGCCACTTGAAAACCTCTCTTTCTGAATTCCTCTTCTCTTGGATCTCTTCGACGCCACCTCATTTCATTCAGGTCTCGGATTGAGTAATTGTATCAAAAAGACTTTAATTAATCTATTGAAAATAGCACGCCAGTTATTCTCTACATCCCTGCTTTTTCTTCTTAGCATATTATCAACTGATATGAATTTATTTATGTTGTTTTATTATCAATCTCATCTTACTAGCATGGCATCTCTGAGAGAGTAATGACTTTGTTTTGGCTCATTGCGGTATCGCTAGCACAGAAAACAGTCTGTAGAACATAGACACACTTGATGAATATTTAAATATTCACATAGTCAACAAATATTTATTAAGTCTCAGAATGTGTTAGACATTATCTGCTAATAGATTTAAATCTCATGGAAAAAAATATTGATCATGTAGTTGTAAAAGCTCTGAGTGATAAAAGCAAGATTTGTGCAGCAGTGCGGGATCAGACAACAAGGGGGGCATAACTTCATTGGGAAGTTATCTGGAAAGTCTCCTAGATTGACTATGAGTGTGGTTTAGATGCAATGAAGGAAGATGGCAAAGCAAGAGGATTCCAAGAGATGGAATAGCAGGTGCAAAGCTGCCAGGTATGATGAGAGCAAGCACAGCTCATTTGAAAAGGTAAAGAATTTTTAAGTGGAACAATGAAACACATTGAGCAAAAGGAGAGTAGTGAAAATAAAGCTAAAGAAGATTTGCTTAGTGCATTAATCTTTTTTCCTCAACACAGTGCAATAAATTAGAGCTTTTTCAAAGATCAGTCTGAAATTTGAAGATTGGATTAAATGAAGTATGCATATGGAAATATTTAGGAAGCAGCAGCAATAATTCAATATGATAGCACTGAACATGGTAAAAAAAAAAATGGTTTCTAAAGAGTGCTCTTCATGAAAGCAGCAACTTTTATTTGAGATAACAGAAAGGTTTCACAAGATGGACAGGGGTGGCACAACACGGGAATGCTCTTAATGACAATGCACTGCACACTTAAAAATTGTTACAATGGTAAATTTTTGGTTATGTATATTTCCCACAATTCCCACAATAAAAATTAAAATATAAGGAAAAGACAAAACACAATAAATTTATAGAAATATTTTTTATAATCAGCTTTTAGTTTTTTATTAAAAGTGGAAAGAAGAGACTATGGACTTAAGCGTGATTGATAGATTTCTAGTTTAAACAGTTAGGTGGGGCTGTCAAGATGATATGCAAGTGGGAATATCAAATAAGCAGTCAAATATGGAAATCTGCAGCCCAGAGAAGAGGTCTGACCTGAAAATAACAATGTGGAGGTTGTTGACATGGAGATAGTAATTGAAGAGCACGTAAGAATGAGAAAAGTGAACTCACAGAAAATCTGACAAGAGAGTAAAGAAGGAGAAGAAATAGAAACAAGGATAATATTTAGCATGAGTAGAGCTTTTTAAGAAGGAGAAATAGGGTAAAAGTATGCTTTTAAGCCATACAGTTTCTAAGAAGTGTCTTTTATTCGGTAACAGAGTACATTGGTGTTTTTTAATGAAAACACTTTGAGTGGGGGAACAGAGCTCTAAAACAGAAGGGGTTGGAAAGTGAGTGGGAAGTGGAAAAAGATGAAAAAGCGTTTTAAAACACCCTGTAAGAAGTTGTTATGAAAGGGAACAAAAAATAAGAAGCACCTGAATTACTAGAGCAAGTCAAGGGGGCACAAATTTTTAGAATGGGAGAGATTTAAGCATGTGTAAATTTTATAGGAAGTTACATGTAGAAAGACAAAGTTTCAGATAAAAAGAGAGTGCTCTAGATTGATACGATGTTTGGATAAAAAAATCAGATCTAGACTTTGGCTGATGTAACAGGAGTAACGGATGTTTTTGTCTTAAATTAGGGTACTAAACCAAGAGGATTGTTTATGTCTCATAAACCCATAGTTATTTTTATGACACAGTCAACATCTTCTGTAAGAAAAAAATGTTCTGTGATACCCAAAAATAATTTTTGAAATACTTAGAATTATACGAAAATATTTTGCCTATTATCAAGGTGGTTCTGTTCAACTCACTTTTCCAGGTGTCTGCTACTTTGGTTTCAGACATCCAGGGTAGTTATTTCTCTCTGAACTGGCTGTCTACTCTCATGCCCTGGTGCCTGTTTCCTTTGCCAAGCCAAATCCTCATTTTCTTTGTGCTAGGTTGAGAGTTTGTTGCTAGGAATGCAAAAAGAAAGAAAATATAGTTTTGTGGATTTTATAAGGGAAACATAAATAGATTATTATAACCCAGCATGTAAAATGCTGGAATGAGGAAAGTATTTTCACTATAACAACCCCCATATTATAAAGAAACTGAGTCCTGAAGTATAGAACATGTCTCATTTATTTTTGCAATCTCATTAGCATGAAAAATTATGTACATCCAAAGAATTTAAAAATAATTATTGAACTACTGAATAATTTAAAACAGTGGTATAAGCTCTACATTTATGAATACTTTCATTAATGCAATAAAAGATCCTAAAGGTTTTTTTGTCACAATTCCCGTTTTGGTTTTTGCAATTATCAATCATTCCTAGGTGAAAACTATTAGAAAGACTAAATTTTTGTTAAGAAAGCAATTAGAATGCTCAAAATCATGTACCTTTACCAAAGACTATACTTATTTTAATCCCAAATACATGGCTTCTATCTACATTGTCCTACTCATCTGCTTCTCTAATATAGCATTATATTTTAAAGGCTAAGAATAGAGATCAGAATATTTTTAAATACTAATAATCATGTTGCATGTCAAAACGTACTTAGTGTATACCTAATATTAATTTTGAAATAGTAATGTTCTGCGGGTGTGTGCCGATGCAGTTTATAATTCCAGAAATAGCTTGATAAAAATGTTAACTTCTTGAGTTCCCTTATAAACTCATCTGCAGCTCAGACTTAAAGGGCATTTACATTTTGAGACTGGTAGAAGAAAATAATTTACATGAAATCTCTGTATTTAGATTACCATTTCAAAGAGAAATAGACTCAATCGTTTTTACTCTAAAGGATTGATGATAATATTGATTTGTTGACTTCTGATTATATTTCTGATTTGACGGTAAAAGCTCCTAAATGATGGAAGTGTTCCTGTTAAGTTATGCAAGATACGCAGGGTAGAATATATTATATACATAATTAATGAAATGTACAATTAAAATATTGCTGAACACAGTCTTCAGAGGTAAGTTCACATTTATGTGGACTTTTACCACTGCAAATTTGCCTGTCGAGTTTATTTTTTCTTTGAAACGAGGGCTTAACACACATCTCTGCTGCATTAAGGCCAAATTACAGAGAATCTGACGCCAACATTCTTCTCATAGTTATTTTTTAAATTTTACTTAGCCATTGAGAAGCTATACTGCATAGTGACTAAAGGAAGATTTTAGAAGCCAGGTGCTTGTGTTTAAATTCCAGCTCTGCCACTATGACCATCAACAAGTTTTTCCATTTTTGTCCTTTGGTTTTCTTATCTACAAAATAAGGATGATAATTTTATGTCTCAAGGGTAATTAGAAGAATTAAATAAATTAATGCAAGAGGAACCCAAGAAGAGTGTCCGTTACACAGGAAGCACTCAGTATGCATGAGGTGTATTGTCATTATGGCCTTTGAGCATATGGTTTTGGACTATTGTGAGCACTTCACCTACATCTTCTTGTTTTAATTGTAGAAATTCTAGTAGATGCTAAAAGATAATCAATAGAATTGCCATGTTCAATTTAGAAATAGAAATGAATAAGCATACAAAAACATAAAACTGAAGAAAATATACTGGTAAATTTTACCTAATAGTTGACACAGCAATAGTGAATTGCAATTTTCACTATTTCAAATGACCAATTAATTCATGTCTGTCACATTCTATATATTATATCTTATTAGGCCATTATCATAAACTGCAGAGTAGGAAACAACATACTCATTAATCTTTGTAAAAGGATCATAGCAAAGTAAATATTCTCCATTTGAAAATAAAATATGTATCTTATTAAAGAGCAAGTAGGGCAAGGGGGACTAACAAAACCTGACCAATCAATCATGTAATTAGAAATGGATACTAGAAAAAAGTAAAATAATACAAATTTAAATTTTAAAAAACTTATTCAAACTTAAAAATTTAATGGTAGATTTTTTTGTGTGTGTGGCTTTTTTTTTTCAGGAATTACCATAATGATTTATATATTTTTTTGAAAACTAATACTGGTCTGGCACAATGCTAACCACTTTACGTTAATTACCCTTTTTAATCCTAAGCATAAGAATGTTCTGTAGTACCATTATAATCTCTCACTGAATTTAAGAGGCACCAAAGCTAAGAGAGGCTAAGAGATTTGGCCGAGATTACACATCTAATAAGTAGACAAGCTTAACATCTAAGTAGTCTGTTTCTAGGACCCATGTTCTTAAACTTTTTGCTATATTGCCTTTTTATTTATTGAGAGTATTCAAATATTAAACTTTTCTTTAATATAAAATTAATTTTATTCCAATATTCTGGGAAAAAAAAAAAAACAGTCTTAATTTGAGTACAGAGATTTCAGGTTCTTTAGACTACTGGGTCTGAAACCAGATGAACTGAGTTCAAATTCTACCTTTGCTACTAAACAGCTCTTGATCTTTGAGATAGTTTTTAGTTTATTAACTTGTTTGCTTATCAGTAAATAAGTATAACATGCTTCACAATTATTATAATTTTTAGATGAATCAATACATGTAAATCATGTAGACCAGTGCCTGGAAAAAACAAAACAAAAACATTTGATTAATTTTAGCTATAAATATCATTTGCTAAAAGTAAGAGTTTGGGCTCAGAAAGTTAGTATATTAATTAAAATGGGGTTTGGCTGTAACTGGCAGAAAAATTGAAATGACAATGGCTTTAAAAATATAAAAGTTTATTTCCAACTCACGTAAAAGTTTGGAGAATTACTTTGGGCTTGTGGTTTGCCCACATTTATCCGTATACATCAGCTTTCAAGTCAGCAGAGAAAAGGAAAGTCTAAAAAAAAGGAATACTAAGTATAGACTATGTCTTAAAGAGAGGTCCCAGAACACATGTAACTTGATTTTACATCACTTTAGTCAGAAGTTGAGACAAAGGAATAACCAATAGCAAAGAAAGCTGGGAAATATCATCTTTATCATAGGTATACAAGAAGGGACAATCACTTTTCATAATAATGAATTTCTTATGAAGCATTAGATTCATCTTTATTCCCTTTTTAATAATATCCTCTGTCCTGGTTATATATGCCTCCTGTTATTTTCTCTTCTGTTTTCTGTTATTGCTGTTGCCGTTGTTGTTTAATAGAAAAACCAAAAAGCAAGAGTTACCAGTCTGAAGAGGGCAGCACAGCATGATGATAGCACTGTTTCTGTATAACACATACGTAAAGGAGAACCACAAATCTCTCTGCTTTTTTTTTTTTTTAATCCTCACCCAAGGATATTTTTTCCATTTATCTTCAGATAGAGTGGGAGAGAGAGAGAAAGGGAGAGAAAAATCGACGTGAGAGGGACACACCAACTGGTTGCCTCTCACAGGACACCCAGCCAGGGCCAGGGACAAACTGCAACTGAGGTACATGCCCTTGACTGGAATTGGAGCCATGACTCACTGGTCCAAGGGCCAACACTCTCACTGCTGAGCCAAACTAGCCAGGGCTCTCTCTGTTTTTTTCAATCCCTTGTCTCAAAAGTAGATTTGTTTGGTAAAACAACACATATTTTTTTCTACATACAAATATTTTGTAGAAATATAGAAAATAATATTTTTCAATGTTCTATTGAAGTGCTTAGATAGTTCACCAAAATATTGACTTTTTTAGCTAATGTTTCTTGATCCATTCAAAAGATCAAACTTTTGTTTCTGGTAAATAAAACTGCATAAATTTATAGTCCACAGGCAGTCTCTGAAAATTATATTTTTTGGTGTTGACCTACATTTTAAAAAGTATTAAAAGCAGAGAAAAAAATCTTTATAATGGAGAAAGCTGACCAATGTTACCATAGCCAGATAATTAAAATAAAAAACAGTGATAAAAGGTGTTGATAGAATATTCCCTTAATATGATGTGATGAGGGTGGTGCTTTGTCTCTGTGGTCTTCTTCCCCCAAAACTCATAATCCCAGTCTAATCATGAGTAAAACATCATACAAATCCTAATTAAAGGACATTTACCACTACTCCTCAATTGTTAAAGTCATCAAAAATAAGGAAAATCTGGGAAACTGTCATAGCCACAAGGAGCCAAAGGAAACGTGACAACTAAATGTAATGAGATATCCTGGATGAGATTCTAAAACATAAGAAGAGTATTAGGGAAAAAGTAAGGTCATCTGAATACAATATGGACTTTAGTTAATAAAAATATATCAGTTTTGGTTCATTAGTTGTGACAAATGTACCACTAATGTAAGAGGTTAATAGTAATAGAATCTGGGTGCAGGTATTTAGGAGCTCTCTTTGCAACTTTTCTGTAAATGTAAAACTATTTTAACACAGAAAAGTTTATTTAAAAGTCAATAGTTTTGTGTGTGTGTGATTACAGCTACTTTTATAAAATATCAGTGGAATTTCTCCTTCTAAAATATTACCAGTTTTATACTTAGGCAACTCTCTTTAGAATGCCATTTTTACAAATAAAGGTGTTAGTCAGGCAAATGATGCAAAATCCATAAAAACAGATTAGTTTGAAAATGGCAGAAATCTATGCAATGTTTCTACTGCTTGCTCATCTAGAGATAACCTGAATGGGAGAGAGAGAGAGAGAGAGAGAGAGAAAGAGAGAGAGAGAGAGAGAGATTGAGAGAGAGAGATCCAGAATCCTCTTGACCCTAAATTTTTCTTTTGTTGTTGTATAATTTTTTTTGTTGTTGATTGATTTATTTGAGAGAGAGAAACATAGATTTGTTGTTCCTCTTATCTATGCATTCATTGGTTGATTCTTTTACATGCCCTGTCCAGGGATTGAATTCACAGCATGGGCATATCAGGACAGTGCTGTAACCACCTGAGCTACCTGGCCAGGCCCAACTTTGAATTATTTTTTATCATTATAGTTAAAGGGCATTCTAAAAGTCACCCAGGGTAGTTTGCAGATTTCTTGCCCACTGAAGTTTTTTGGTAGGAAGATCTCCTGAACAAGAACCTTGATCATCAAACAACTGTTTGACGTCTAATGACATGTTCAGAATCTACATGTCTAGAATTGAAAAAAAAGTTTTGTTTGTTTATTTATTTGTTTTACACCCCACTCCCAACTAGTCCATAGAAAGAGTAAGTAAATATTATTTCAGAAAATATTATAAGCAGTTAGGAAAAATGGACCCATTACTGATAGGTTAACTTCCTGTTTAATAAAAGATTATTTCGAATTCCAGATACTTGTGTCTCTAGCATTGTTTGGAAAGTTGATTTTTTTGTTGTTGTTGTTTTCATGCAGCAGAGATATTAAATGATTCTGGCATGGCTTAATGTACACTCTGTCACATAATAGAACTATGTCTTCTATGTCAAGTTACATCTTTCTAGGTCTCAATTTCCTCTTCTATAAAAGGGGGAATAAAACTTACCTCATGAGGTTGTTTGAAGCATAAATAATATGATGTCTATAAAGCTATTTTTATAGTACTAGGCATAAAATTGCTTTTCAGTAACTAGTCACTTGAAATATTAGGGGTTGGATAAGAGTAGTATTCAAAGTTAATATTTTCAAATATAAGATCTTTCTAGGAAATAAAAAAGAAATAATGATTCTATTTTTGCCTCATCCATTATGAGGTAGGTGTATATCTTTTACTTTGGAATGGAATTGGAATGAAGACCCTTCTTAAAATCGAAACATTTGCAGATTTCCACATAAAAATAATTTGACAGACAGTAATCATGACAATATTTGACTATTATCTATATTTATATAATACTTTCAATATATTTAAAATTTAACTCCAATAACATCTATTTGTATTTCTAAAATTGTAGTTTACATATGTGTAAAACCTAATATTCCTCAGTCTAAGAAAACAGTTGATGTGCATATGGATTTTTGCATGTACTCCTTCTAATAATACCAAGGTCAATACGAGTTCATGCTCCTCTGCGCTGCTCTGAAACCACTGTATTAAACCATATTTTTGAGAAATTAAAAAATCTAAAAATCTCTGGTATGCCTATATTATCCTGAGACAATGTAATATCTGCTGTTTAAGGGAAAAAGACTTGAGATAATACCTTTGTTTCCTCACTGCTGTTGTTTGCATGCATGGTACTGAGAATTCATCCTAGGTGTTATCCTCCTAGTATCTTTATAAACAAAAAGCATATGAGACAAAACCTTATTGTCAACCTTTGAGACATTCTGCATTATAAAACATAAAATAAAAAAGACTCAGAAAAATAAAAATAGCAAGAAATTCTATTCTGTCTTGACGCAAGAAATATGCAATATAACAGTAAACTCTCCAGGTCTAGTCACTATTGGATGCAGCAATGACAGATTCTGATGATTACAGCTGTCTCTGCTATGCCCAACCTTATAAAATAGGTCATCTACATGTGGTCCATATCGTCTGCCAATCCTTCTAGAGAGCCCATAGAGCATAAATTCAGAGCCTGGTACTACTAAGGTTTATAAGGCTTATAAGGTATCTATAAGTTCACTACTCAACAGCAATAATGACCACTTGACATAAATGAATATACACATGGTGCCTGTCTTAGAAGAACTTACAATTTTCTTGAGCCAATAAAGTGGTTAGCAAATAGAATTTAAAAATTAATTATTGTTGTAGTATATGTTAGTTATCACTTTTGTGTTCTCTGTCAACTTCACCCAAATAAGACTCTGATCATGTAAATGGGGTAATTTGGTTTGAAATTTGAGAATAAAAGCTACATCCATCCTAAGGATGGGGCCTGGCAAAAGAAAATGTCAGCTTAAACGTAGGTATTGCTGAATGTGAGCAGAAGATACAAGGGTACACATATATTAACCCTTATTGTACAGAGAGTGGCAGATTCAGTGTGAGGATGCCTCCTCTAGTCTTTCACATAAAATTACAATAAAATCGGTGGCTTGTGTCCAGAACCCTGTTAGCTGGAGAAGACGAGGCCAGAGGGTGAAGGAGAATCACAGTGGACACAAGTGATAACAATTATACTTTCTCAGTAGATTTTTAAAACAGTCTAGATTCTTCTAACATTGTGTCCTGGAGAAGTTAGACAGGCAGAGCCACATCAGTAACTTGACAACAAAAGAAAGTTGGCAGGTGTGAAGCACCAAGAAATTACCATCTTTTTTCAGCCAAAGGGGGGAAAAAGGATAAACCATAAGATTGTCCTTTATTTATCTCTGTCAAAGCAACAAATAAACTACATTTAAATTTTAATTAAATGCTTACCAATATTCCTCTCAGTTATAGTGAGCATCCTTAAATCTAATCGATCATTGTATCCTCAGTGCCTAAGACTGTGTTTAATTCTATGAAAAGTTTCAATAAGTATTTGAACATTATAAAAAATATTGAATTAACAAAAGACAGTTTTAAAAATTCTACTTTCATCAAGACTCAATTACAACAGGAGAGCCCATATAACCCACATGAGGGACATTCCTGAAGAACCTAGCTCAAGTAATCAAAGATATTGTG